TTTGCCATGTTAGTGTCTCAATATCAAGTAGTCTATGTAACCTGTATTTGTGTTTGTGCTACGTAGAACCACATATCCCATGAATCTCAGACAAGGGAAATATGTGTGAATTGTTGTTTTCTTATGCATGCTCAAATCCACTAAACAAATAGGTTGTGAAAGAATAATTTATTCTATCCATTCAACAGGAGAGGATATGTACAAGTGCTTCCCTATCCCACCTCATTCCCAATAATACATATAGTGATCCCGGGTTTTACCCCTTGCTGTACAGTGATCCGGACATGGTTCTGTGGATGTTAGTAGTTGTAAAAATCTTGTTTATATCCTTTCATACTTCATAATTGAGTTATATGATGTGTTGGACAGGTTTGTTACAGGTTGGTTGTGTTTGGGAACAAAAGGTTGCTGCCCAGAATTTTGGTCCTTCGCTCGAGTGAGAAGTTTGTCGCTCGAGCGAGCTTCTGGTTTTGGTTCTTCGCTCGAGCCAGGGTTTCTTCGATCGAGCGAGAGTTGAGCTTTTTGTGTCTGGTGGGTCGAGCCAGAGTGGCTTCGCACAAGCGAGCGTTTACGTCTGGTTTTGGACCTGAGAGCTGTGTTTCTACGCTCGAGCGAGCTTTCCTTCGCTTGAGCGAGCGAGGTGTATGTTTTCGAGTTCCTCGCTCGAGCGAGCATTCTGTCGCTCGAGCGTGCTTCTGGGTTGCAGACCTGAAGCTTCGAGTTTTTGGCTCGAGCGAGACTTTCTTCGCTCGAGCGAGGGTTTCTTGTGTCTGGTCGCTCGAGCGACCAAGTCTTCGCTCGAGCGAGCCTGTTATATATCAGTAGACAGCAGCGGGTTACACTTAGCATTTTTCATTCTCTTCTTTTTTGAAACCCTAGAGCCGATTCTCTCTCTCTCTCTATACTTGTCTTCTCTCTAAGGTATCATCTAGCTAGAGTGTGAATCTAGCCTAAGTCCTTTGTTAAAAAGATAGAGTGGGTTGAGGGCTTCGTTTTAATCTGAAAAACTTGGGATTTGGAGTACGTTGGATTTCGGGTCTTCATCTCCGTTTGAGCTCAAACTTCGAGGTAGGGATATCCTACTCCTCTTTATGAGCTTTGTCTTTGAATTTTAGCATTTTGATATGTTGGGGATGTATCTGTGTTGACCATCTATCAACTGCTAATCTTTTAGTCATTGTTCATAGCTGGTTTAGTATATTTCTACTGGGCTGTGGCTCACCCTATAAGGGACATCATTTTCAGGTACAGGTAGCATGCCACCTCCAAGGACATAGCTTGGGAGGCTAGGGGCAGACAGACTTTGGTTGTTGGTCATCTTTTGATGTATTACATGTAATTTCAAGCCAATGGCTTAATGTGTATTTGAGTTAGTACTCTTCTTTTTGTAACCAAGTGTTAACTTGGAAAGCTGTAAGCCCGTAGGGCATTTGCTTTTGTTGTTAACATGTAATACTTTTTGTAAAGGATATTCTGATTTATGAAAGTATGCTTTATTCTCTTTTGTCCAAACATGTCAAGAATGTATGATTTTCCATCATAGATTTCAAGTACTTATATTGATAAGCACAAAGATTTAGCAAAGAACATACATTCTCCTCATATTCCTCATTTTAAAGGGCCCCTTGCTGAATGCCCAATCAACGTTGATGGTTTGAGTGAGCAATTCAGTTCCATCCATTTCATTTATGGCTTTCTGTGATTCTTCAAAGTTCTCATATTCAATTAGTGCATACCCTTGTAGAATAATATTGCATGTTGAGCAATTCAGTAAAACAACAATTTAGCACAAACCTTACTTACTGATTTTTAATTTTATTTAGAAAAATTCAAGTTTTGGGTGGGCAGACTTCAAACCCACAACCTATCATACTACCAAAACACCCCTTTACCACATGAGTAAAGCCCCATAGCAACTTGTACTGCAAAATACAAGGGAGCAGCCAAAAAAATTGAAACACATCATAAAATTATACCAAACAGCATTCAACTTTTGCAAATCAGCAGTCTTCAAAAAGATGAAAGTTAGCTCTCACCCATGAGTTGCTCGACTACTAAATATGTTTCATATGGGAACTATTGATCAAAATATGTCTACACTAGTAGTAGTAGATAACTAGCCGTGTTTTGATAGCATTAACTTTTAAAATAAGCATGGCACAAGATACAATGACCTTTTCATCATCTTTTCCCAACCAATATACAAATGCGTCAAATTTTCAAAGTTCAAATAACCGCATCACATTTACATGGATTCGAGTACGGGTGTCAATTGCGGACATGTTCAAGAATATGTTACATGATGTTTACAAAATGAATATGGAGCTTTTTATACATAGAACAGGGGTCTTATGCATAAATTTATACTGAACTATTACTTGAGCGTATTTCTTGGATACATGTCTAACCAAACATGTAGGACACAATCACACAAATCTCATATCCTAAATCGAGTGGCAAATGGTACTTCACAAATTCAAAGGAATCAGTGTAATACAAAAGGCATCTCAAACTCTCATGTCATTTGAACTTCTTGACTACAGAGCACAAACACACCTCCTTCCTATTATGATGCCATGTCCATGTCCAACATAATATTGACAATCTGATACTCATCAGATGCACAAAACCAATGTCGAACATGCATTCATGCGTGTACTATTTTCGAATATATACATGTGACTAGGTCATGCACCAAGGATGAAGTCTGAATTTTCAATTTTGTACAACAATATCAACTAAATCAACTACGAGTAATTAACAAGTTAACATAGTTGCTACTTGCAAATAAGGGAATAGTAAACTAATCTTAAATTTAAAGAACATATGTGAATGAATAAAATAGGATATTTAAATGGATAATAGGCCTGACTAACATACAACTTTTAGTTTATAAAGAATTGCTTTTAGCAGTAATCGAAAAATGCTGAAGCATCAAAGAACAAAGGTAGCCCGATAGTAAAGCAGTCTAGATGAATTTCTTCTCATTAACAGTCATCCTCAAGGTATTAGCCAGTCTCTGCTCCATTTTTAGTTCTGCAAAAAGTAACCCCCAAACCAAACCAAACCAAACATATTTAACATATACATACAACAATATACAATGCAAGCAAGCATGCATCCAATATAAATGTAAACAAATAATTTCCAAACAGTTCTACATGATATCTCTAATCCTTGACTCAAACCCTCTATATCAAATTTATAAATTTGGCTAAAAATCGCCCTCCTTTTTTCAAACTCGTACCAAATTGAATCAAATTTACAACTCTGTCATTACTGATGCGTTTAATCAAAGTTTAAAGGAACGAACACAAAAATTCAAAATCTTAGAGAGGGCGGGTTGGGTCAGGGACTCACTGACTCAGAGGAGGTAGTGGCGGGAAGTGGCGAAGTAGGAGGAGATTGCAGTACCTGGTGTCGGAGAAAATTCGTCCGATAAGTTGTGTCGTTTACGAATTTTGAACGGAGTGAGAGGTGAGGCCTTGAAACCAAACGACTGAAGGTGAGAAGTGAGGGAATGAGAGAATCCTAACCCCAATGACAATATGTATGTATATATATGGCCTTATAAACTGGCGGCGAGAGGTGAGGCCATCGGCGGTGTGAGCAGGGAAAGGGGTAAGGGGAGGCGAGAGCCGTTGTCTCTATCGCTAATCTGATTTGAGAGAGTGTAAGCGAATTAGGTTTACAAAGTTTGGGAACTAGGAGAAAAATGAAATGAATAAGAGAACAGAAAATAAAAATTTTTATTTGGATAAGTAACAAATTTAAAAAAAAGAAATGATCGTAATTTTTTTATTTCTTGTTTGATTATATTTTATAAGTAAAAAAAATTATTTTATGTTATATTATCAAAATAATCTTTTTATATTTTGAGGACATGGGTGTCAATCATTTTATTTCTTTTATTTTTGTTTGTACAAAATTAGTATTATGAAAATATAAGAATTTATTAATTTTTTTTCTTTCCTAATCTCTCCACTTTTGGAAAGATTGAAAATGAGGGTTATAAGATAAATGAGTTTCTCTTCGTTTCTCCCCAATTATTTCTACTTAAGTTATTCAAACAAATAAAAGAAATACTTATCTCTTCATTTATTTTATTTTCTCTCCATATCACTCAATCCAAACATAATAATCGCCAAGTGATTGGGTGTGTGTGAGTGTGTGACTTGAAATGAATTGTCGAGTCGCTTTGAGCCCGGGTTGGCTTTTAAAACCGCCAGCCGTGCCGATCGGTTCAACCCATCCCACCAAGCTGTATTATTGTGTTGGTTTTGGCGGAGGGATTGAAAAAGAGATTTGAAAAAGAAAATAAAATTGATAGGTGAAATATAAATAAAATATATCTACATTTTATATAGTTTCGTATACTTTTTTTTTTTAAAAAAAAAATTATAAAGTTTGTGTTTAGTTAGAAAATTTGAAAAAGAAAAGAAAATCGATAGATGAAATGTAAATAAAATATACCTAAATTTTATATAATTTTACACATTTTTCTCTTTTCATTTACAAATTCCTAAATCGGTTAAAAGATGCACAGTTCTAATGGAGTTATTAAAAACCTAAATTAAGCAAAAATCAATATGTACACTCGATCAATTATAAAATCAATCACATAAATGAGATATAAAAATATCATCACGATGTTTATGATTTATTAAATTTTATTATAATATTTTATATAAATTAAATTATAGTAATAATAATGTACAAGTGAAGTAATTTGTGTCAAACAATATATTTCTTGATCGATTGGGCAAAATGTTTTATATGTTTAGTTGTGTACATATGTAGAATTACTGAGATTATAAAATAATTATTTCTAATTAACGAGCAACTATTCTCTCCTCACAAAAATATTATGTTTACCGTGTATAGAAGTCTAGGAAAAATCGATGAAATTGAACCAACCATTCAAGATTGATAAAAATTTATGTTTTATTTTGATTTTGAAAACTTTTACATAGAAACAAACTTAACCAACAAAAATATTATACTATGATGCATCTCAAGTCTTCATTAAAAAAAAGCACAACCAAAATCAAGCACACCCTTCTCACAATCAATGTGCAAGATGATCCTGGAAAATGGTATCAAAGGTCGATTGTCCAAGTGCAGAGCAATAAGCTAGTCCAAGAAACAACCATGAATACCAACCCAATATTGCAACATATTACATGATTTAGAAGAAACATCCTAAAAAACATCCGCCAAAGAGGCCACGGAAGGGAACCTCAGCAAACAGAATAATAATCATTCATCCAATCAGTTACAAGTCAAATTACCCAAAAAAAACTTGCCCAAACATCTTGTTTCTCATTCCAACATAAATCCAGAAATCCTTGCATGATTAGAATCTTCTCCTCGGACTTCTTGAACGGTGTCCACGTGGTGATCTGCAATAATACAGACAAAAAAAGGTTGGTGCTTTATGTCTGGATGGAAGGACTCAAACCAATAAAAATTATAAGATTATAAAAATGAATCTGCAAGTGAAAATTAGTACACCAATACACACTGATATTACAGCTCTAGTGACGTTTCAATCATTTTATAGCTATCAGATTTTATGTCATAAAGGGCTCTCACTAGAGAAGTGAATCAAATGAAGCCACAGTGACAAAAAAGATTCAAGTATTGCTATTTGCTGTCTCTTATTTCTCTCTATGAGTTCCATGTGACAATAGCAAAGCACCCAATGGCATCTAATTATGCTCTTTCTAATACCTGTTTGTTTCAACATGAAATAATTAGTATATGTTTGGTTTTTTGTTGATATGATGTGGTAAAAACAAATTACCTACTAAAATCTGGGAAAGAATTACCAACTTTGTCCCAATACAAGTCATTACCCACAACAAACATCAAAACCGTTAGCGCCCTCACATTGACAAATGTATATGCACACAATATAAAATTCTTGATATGGAATTCTATAGTAATAAAAGGTATGTACCTATATAAATTTATATCTATATTAATGGTCCTCATAATACCTTTTAGGATTTTCCATGTTAGTGTCTCAATGTCAAGAAGTGTATGTAACCTGTATTTGTGTTTGTGCTACGTAGAACCACATATCCCATGAATCTCAGACAAGGGAAATGTGTGTGAATTGTTGTTTTCTTATGCATGCTCATATCCACTAAACAAATAGGTTGTGAAAGAATAATTTATTTTATCCATTTAACAGGAGAGGATATGTACAAGTGCTTCCCTGTCCCACCTCATTCCCAGTAATACAAGTCAAACCTAAAAATAAAATTGTTTTTCCCCCTTCTTTGTATTCGTTGTCCTGAGAATCCAACCATTGATTCACAGAGATTTTCCATCATAGATTTCAAGTACTTATATTGATAAGCACAAAGATTTAGCAAGGAACATACCTTCTCCTCATATTCCTCCTTTTAAAGGGCCCCTTGCTGAATGCCCAATCAACGTTGATGGTTTGAGTGAGCAATTCAGTTCCATCCATTTCATTTATGGCTTTCTGGGATTCTTCAAAGTTCACATATTCAATTAGTGCATACCCTTGTAGAACAATATTGCATGTTTAGCAATTCAGTAAAACAACAATTCAGCACAAACCTTACTTACTGATTTTTAATTTTATTTAGAAAAATTCAAGTTTTTGGTGGGCAGACTTCAAACCCACAGCCTATCATACTACCAAAACACCCCTTTACCACATGAGTAAAGCCCCATAGCAACTTGTACTGCAAAATACAAGGGAGCAGCCAAAAAAATTGAAACACATCATAAAATTATACCAAACAACATTCAACTTTTGCAAATCAGAAGTCTTCAAAAAGATGAAAGTTAGCTCTCACCCATGAGTTGCTCGACTACTAAATATGTTTCACATGGGAACTATTGATCAAAATATGTCTACACTAGTAGTAGTAGATAACTAGCCGTGTTTTGATAGCATTAACTTTTAAAATAAGCACGGCACAAGATACAACGCCCTTTTCATCATCTTTTCCCAACCAATATACAAATGTGTCAACTACGAATAATTAACAAGTTAACATAGTTGCTACTTGCAAATAAGGGAATAGTAAACTAATCTTAAATTTAAAGAACAGATGTGAATGAATAAAATAGGATATTTAAATGAATAATAGGCCTGACTAACATACAACTTTTAGCTTATAAGGAATTGCTTTTAGGAGTAATCGAAAAATGCTGAAGCATAAAAGAACAAAGGTAGCCCACTTCAGCATAAAACCAAATCATGAAATGTTTCAAGGAAGGTTACTTCTTTTTTATTAGCAACAATAAAATTTTATTGGAAATAAAAGAAGAGGCTTACGAAGAAGTTCTATGCAGAAAGTAGTCCTCCAAATTTTAAAAAAAAAAATAATGAAAACAAAATTACAACTTTCCAATCTCTAGAATTGAAAAGCAAAAGAATCCCTTTTAAGAGAGATAGCACTAAAACCCAAAAAAAGATATATAACAATGATATAAATTATAAAAATACCATTTTACATCAATAACTATCAACTACAATATCACATCCACACATTACATAATTATGTGAGAATGAATGCATAACTTTATTCTTATTACCCATTTTCCACTGTCTAACCTTAACAAATCCAGTTCGACGATCAAGATTCAAATGCAAATTCTTAATCTCCCCAAATTCGCCAAATGCATTTTGCAGATCATCTTCTTGTGCCTCTTCATGAACTCCAGTGACCAGAATAATCCATCCTTCAATGGCTGTAAAAATTCACCCACATTAGGACTACTATGTGGATTTTAAAACTTCTCTGTAAATGTCAACACAAAAACTAAATCATAAAAAGCTATCTAGGTTTTAGATACTGTACATTATGTGATAATACACATGCAAAGAACTGATCTCCCTGACCTTCAACTCTAAAATATATATATACACATATATATTCAATCTTAAAATTTATATTAAAAAATAACTATGATACAATAATAGACATAAGCATAAACCAAATCAAACAAAACTAAACTTTGTGTCCTAATCAAATGGGTCAGCTACCTGAATCTTTTTTAGCTAGTAAGCTCTATCAAGGGCTACATAATCAAGTAAATTGTATAAATTTATATTTTATTCACTACCACATCACGTAACATCTCTATTTACAGTGATCATATCATTTTTCTGTTGCTCCAACCCACATGCATGCAAAACCATGCAAAAGAGAGAGTCAAAGAAGATGGCATTGGAAGACTTCTACCTCCAGAGAAGGAGGTCTGAGCTGGGCATCTGGAAGATCAGCTCTCCATTCTCTTCACGTTGTTGTTGTTTGTTGATTTTCACCATTCACCATTAAAGAGGGTAGAAATTTTTGATGGGTTGGTATCCCCTCTCTCTCTCTCTCTCTCATCTTTGTGTATAAATACAGATGGGAGGGAGATGATGAATTGTATCAGAAAATTGAAAAAGAGAGAGTTGTGAGTTGAGTGAGAGTTTTATCTCCTACTCTGTTTTTGTATTTTGCTCCATTTTAGTGAAATCCTCTTTTTTGCTCTGTGGACGTAGGCATTGGGCCGAACCACGTAAATATTATGTTCTGTGTGTGTGTGAGATAATTTTCTGGATGTGTTTGATCCTAACATTTTCCTTATAGTTGCAGGTGTTCATTATACCTGACCGAACCATCTAAAACCATCTAAACATATTCTCTCTCAACTTATGATTTGATTTCTACCATTTTCCCAATATATACATTTCTAATTCTATATTTTTCCAGTCTTACCACACATTCATCTAAACATGAATAGTTATTCTATAAAATTTTCTAGAATTCATCGATCACATAATATCACAAATGAAGTTACTCCATATATATATATGGATATTACATTAATAAAATTAAACCAAAAAAGCAGAAACTGAACTACAGAGAGCGGGGGAGAGAGAACATACATCGTTCAGGACTGGGGCCGCCATCGGAGTTGAGAGAGTCGAAGCAACCGGCCATGCGGTTGTTGCGATCGGCATCAGACTCTTCTTGGAAACCACGGCCTTTGGTCTTCTTGGGAGCAGTGGCGGCGGCGAAGGCGGAGGAGCCGCCGGTGATGGCGGACTTGAGCTTTGGGAGAGGAGCCCTAGGCGAAGCAGCGTCGACGTCAACAGTGCCGTCCTCGTCCATGAGATCGTCGTCCTCCGGCTCGAAGTCCACCACTTCTACATCTGCATTCCCCATTCTCTCTCACTCTCTCTCTCTCTCTCTTTCTCGGGTAAGGGTTTCTACGCTCTGAGGGTTTGGATTCGCTTTTACGGATCGGTTTATTTGGGGTAGAACTTTATTTATTTTTGTTCAAAAAAAAAAACATTTATCTATTTATTTTAATTTTCATTTTAAAAAAATTAATAATAAAATCTCAAGAATTTGACCTTATAATAAAAAAAAATTTTAAATTTTCATTTTATTAATTTAAACCTTAGTTTTTCATTTAATTTTCATATATACTATCTACCTATTTTAGTTAAATAAAATGACAAAAAATAATATTTTAATTATTAAATTTAACAAAAAATTATATTTTATACATTTTATATACACTTACATTAAATTTAATGACTACGATATTATTTTTTCATCGATTTTATTTAACAAAAATGGACTAGTAATTTAAATTGAAAATAAATCAAAAATTAAATTTTAAAATAATAAAATTAAAAACTCACGGTTTATTTTATTACAATTATCAAACTCTTTTTTTTTTTTTGGATTAAATTACACTTTGGCTCTTAAAGATTTTTTTCATGCAAATTTATTTATTTATTTTAATTTTAGATAAATTATAATTTGCCCCTTCTATCTTTCATTATTTTCTCATTAGTCTTTAATTTTTTTTTCCCACTTTAACCTTTCATATTTTACTTTTTCCCAATTTTATTATAAATCTAATTTATGTTTAAAATTATACATAAAAATATATTCTTATATTAAAATTTGGATTGTGTCAGGTGTGCAAATTATATATAATAAAAAATTCATGACATGTGACTGCCAACTAATCATTTATTTTTTTTGGTATAATTTTGAACATAAATTTGATTTACGAGTAAATTAGAAGGAGAAAAAAAAAATGAAAATATAATGGGTTAAAGTAGACCCCCAAAAAAAAATAAATTAAGGGTTAAAATGAAAAATGGCCAAATATAAAGATGACTAAGTGTAATTTACCCTTAAGTTTTTATAAATAACTTGCACGTTTCATTTTCAAATTGTTGCTCAAATTTTATATTGATTCATCATTTTTTAATTAAAATAATTAAGTGTTCATAATTTAATTTATATTTTTTGGCAAATTACACTAACAGTTTCTGTAGCTTGAAATTTGTGTCACTTTGGTCTATAATTTTTCAATTGTAATACGTTTGACCATAAATTTTAAAGCTCGTTTTAAATAAGGACAATTGAATACACTATTGCTCCATTTTAAGGACAAAATCGTTAATTTGATAAAATATAAACTAATTTGACAAAAATAAATGTCAATTTTTTGTGTAATTTTTAAAATTTTACATTTTTAGGTATGTGTTTTGATGATGATCATGTAATGAGTGGCTATTTTTGTTGATATTTTTTGATGTTATCGTGTAATATATGGTTATATTTATTGTTAAAATATATATTTATTATTGTTATCATGTAATGGATAGTTATTAAGCTGTTAATGTGTAATTGATATGTTTAATGTATGAAATGTTTTTAATTTTGAATTTTTTATTTAATGGATTGGTTTAATAATATATTAAAATTATCACCATATTTAACTTTAAAAAAAATAAAAACTAATTTAACGAAAAAATATATATATAAAATATTTAAAAATTTTATTTATACCATTCCAAAACATAAAATTATATAAAAATGGTATTTTTTTATTTTTTTCACCAATTTAATTTTTAACTTATTAGAAAAAAAATTCAAAATATATTCTAAAAACTAAACTAAACTAAACAGAACTTTATAACTAAGAAAGTTTCAATATTATTCATTCAAAAAAGGTCATTAAATTTCAAACAACGTACAAATTAATCAATACAAAATAAATTATATAATAATTTTATTTTTAAAATAAAATATATTACAATTGAAAAGTTAAAAACTAAAGTAATACAATTTAATTCGCTTATATTCTAATATTACCTTATCACACAATGTTCAAAGAGGGAGGCAGGCCGCGGGGTGGGTGTTGCGAGGAATTGGACAGTGCTGTGCCTCCGAAACGGCGTAGTGTCGTGAATATCTTCAAACTAGTCAAGTCTACGTCCGAATGCCAATTTACGTTGCTTTTGGCAAATAATATTGTTATATGTATTAATTAATGTACATATTAATGTACTAATAGATGATATGACATTATTTATATAATTTTAAATATTTGTAACTTGTATAATAGATATAGTCAATATAACATTAATTGATATACTAATATATACACTAATTGATGCATACAAAACAAGTATGTCGACTTTCATTTGCTGCCAATCATTAATCCCAGATCCGTCGTAAATTATGTGATTACTATTTGAAAATGACATTAATCAATATACAAAAATGATGTAATTGTGGCAATTTTGAAAATATAAACCATCCATTTTGATGAGTCTTTATTTTTAAAATTTTAAAATCAAAGTTTCTCACAAAATTATGTATTGATTTTATGTATAAATTTTATATTTCTATATTATTACTCATACTATATATATAATTGAATATAGTTGTGCCACGTAGGCCACGTATACAATATGTAAATAAAATTTATTTTGCATATAGCCTACAATACTCTAACTTCAACTCTACATCCTAGGTTTTAGTTTCATAATTAATTTTGTTATAATTTTTTAATTCAAATTTTTTGAAAATTAATTTTTTTATTTTTCGTATTTTTAAAATATTTTAACCAAATTATTTATTTTTTAGACGTATCTAACTTAAATGTATTAATAAAATGAAATATTTATAATAAAAAAAACAATAAATACATGGGAATACGAAAATATATTAATTTTTATATTTTTGAATTTATTAAATTTTTTAAAGTTTTTTCACAAATATTATACTGTTTAAACGTATTTATGTTAGATATATTTAAAAATTTTAAAATATTAAAAAAATTCAATAAATAAAAAATATTAAAAAAAAAACCCAATATTCTAAAAAGTGGATTCAAAATTCTAAAAGCAAATAAAGTGCGGCTCCGTTTGGCAATAGCCACAAAAGACAAAATAGGCTATTTTAGCCACAACAAACAAAACATCACATCTAACCTATAATCATTATATTATTCTCTCACAAAAAAAGTCAAAAAAGCCAAAAAGTCCTTTCAAAACCAAACTTTTTAGCTCAGACTAAAAAAACCAAAAAGTCAACCCACTTCCCAAACGGAAGCTATGTATACTTAAGAATCCAAACACAAAAAAACATATATAGGCTCCGTTTGGGAATATGGTTTATGGGCTTTTTTGGCTATTTTAGCTAAAAAATATAAAATAGACTATTTTAGCCACAACAAATAAAATATCACATCAAACTCATAATCATTACACTCTTCTCTCACAAAAAAAGTCAAAAAAGCCAAAAAATCAAACCACTTTTGTTGGCTTTTTGACTTTCGAAGGTTATTTTTGTAATTATGAGCGTGCCAACAAGGATCAATCAGTCCTTATATATAGCGATCCCGGTTTTCCCTTTCCTTGTGTATTATATTCCGAACTCGGTTCCGTGGATATGCTGCTGTCTTATTTTTATTTCTATCCTTTACTCTTTATATTTGAGTCTTGGGTTGCGTTGGGCAAGTTTGGAACAGGTTGGTTGTGTTTAGAAACCAAAAGTTGATGCCCAGATTTTGGCCTTCACGCTCGAGCGGGACTTTTGACCCTCGGGTGAGCCCTTTGTTGTTGTTTCTCCGCTCGAGCGGGCGTTTTGACGCTCGAGCGTGAATATTCATCTCTCAGTATTTTTCTCTGTAGGTTGTCGGACGCTCGAGCGGGGCTTTTGAAGCTCAAGCGGGAACCTTTGATTTTGTTCCTCTGCTCGAGCGGGGAGTATGACGCTCGAGCGGGGACCATGGTCTGCAAAACTTCTGGAAGTGTGCAATCGACGCTCGAGCGTGAGTCTGTGTCTGACGCTCGAGCGGGGAGTTCCACGCTCGAGCGGGGCGACTTTTATATTTGTCCGAAAAGTGACTTTTTGGATCACTTTTCTTGGACTTTTTCTCTCTCTTACTTTTCAAAACCTCCATTGGAGAGCACCTCACTCTAAAATCTATCTTCTCTCTAGGGTTTGATCTAGTTTGAGTGATCTCCTACCCTTGGGCCTTTGTAAAAAGTGTGGGGTTTGGTTTGCTCTTTATTTTGATCCCAAAATCTTGGGTTTTGGAGCATTTCGAAATTCTTCATCTTCTCCATTCGGTCTCATCTTTTGAGGTAGGGAAAACTACTCATTTATATGATTTTTGACATAAATTTTTAGTCATTTTGATTTAATGTTGAAGTTGGGTAATTTTGGGTGTTAGGGTTTCAAAATGAATAAAGGGGGGTTTTGTTATTTTGACTCACAAATGTGTATTTTGGGTCTTAAAATGATGGTATTGATGTTATTGATGATATTGGGACCTTTGGGTCATCGTTGAGAAAAAATTGGAGAAAGCCCGAATTTTTTTTTATGAATTAATTTATACAATTAATTTGGGAATGTTATGGTAATTTGAAATTGAGTTAGAAATGATGAAATTAGTTTAATATGAGATGGAATCGTGAAGTTGGATTGATTAATCACTCACTTTTGAAAATATTGATAATTTATCTGTTGATGCATTTATTATCTGTCTAGAAATAATTGCTTTGGGCTATCGGTGGAGAATAGTCGTGATAGTTGTAGGCGCTGTATATTGATTAGGGAAAACTGAAACTAATCACGTTGAATATGTCATTGAATATGACGGTTGGAATAATACATCGTATATGTGTATTGATTGATCATTGTATATTCCACTGTTAATGGTACTGGATGTACCTCAACCTAAATCGAAAGGGGGCTGGAATTGTTACCTCTTCCACTGCTCATGCTGACACAGTTCTTGCACCTATCATTACAAAGCCTATTCCTGCTACCTCAATTCCTCATAGAGTTACTCGAGCTGCCTCGAAGAAAGGTATGTACCCTTGTTTCTTTTCTTTTCTTATTCTTTATAATACTTTTAGCCTTACTTTTAGTTCTTCTTTTGGTGTAGGTGGTGCGAGTGC